ACATCATACCTTCATTTTTTTGGTGTAAAATACATAGTACCTACCTATTACAACTCTATCAGATACCATTGGCGTGCCTAAACCTTTCTAGAACAAAGCCGGCGCGTGCGGCGCGTCGTTTCCATACAAATTGACAGCTGTAACCTTGTGGTGTATAGTAGCGCGATCCCCGCGCGAGACGACAGCTGTCAAATTGTATGGCACGTCGAACTACATACTTCCGTTATAAAATCGCACTTATCAGAACTGAATAAGAAACCACTGTGTTTAGGTCGTAGTGCCGTTACGCGAAAAGATTCTACAGGGGTTATTGTTAGATAGAAAAAGGATAAGATAACAGATAACAACTAGGGCATTAATAATATTTTATCTTTTATGTTAAAGTACTAAAGTCTAGCCTATAACGAATTATAATATTATTGAGTGTTATCATCAAGAATTTCGTAGGCCTATATTTATTTTTGTTTAAGTTTGCATCATCCTGCAGCTGTGCTTATCGTTATGGTATCTTCGAAACCGATATAAGTCTCAAATGATAGAGTCAATATACCTAAATCCTACATTTATGTGGGAAAATCTTCAAAGAAACTGAAACACAGTTGGACTATGCCCTGGGTAAAAAGGTAACTGATTGTTTTTTAGACAGCCATCGCTTCATGGAAGCAACGTTTCCCCATTCTCTTACAACAGTAAGTTTGTATAGAAACGCCAGCGTATTAATGTCATACAGGCTACACTATGTCATCATCATCATCATTTCAGCCATAGGACGTCCACTGCTGAACATAGGCCTCCCTCAATGCTTTCATGTTGATCGATTGGTAGCGGCCTGCGTCCAGCGCTTCCCTGCTACCTTTGCGATGGATTAGAGCTTAAATACCTCATGTTTTAAATATTATCTCTAGGTATTTTCAGGAACACACGTCTAAAATATTAAGCGACACTTAAACCTCAAAAGATGAAAATGAATCATTTCTCTAGACGGCGAAAATATTATTTTTAAGAAAGTCGCTCTTAAGAAATTCCCCCAGACGGAGCTTAGCAGAAGTTTCTTTAAAGAAAATTGTCCTCTGGGGAGAGTTGAAAACTATTTGAGAATTTTTGCCTGATTTTATACATTGTGCCTTACGTAAAATTTTCTATTCATTCGAAGTATAAGCTACGGAAACTTGGAATAAAAATCTTTAGCACAAACTTTACTACAGTTCCTGTAATTTCTTCACTAGGTTATAGAGCTTTTTTGTATCCAAATTGAAATATACCCTTATTTCATTTTTTTTCGCCATTGCGATTTAACAAAAAAATGCATATCGTTTTGTTTTTAGATTTCAGAGATAAACAAGCAGGCAGATGCTATGAAACAATAAATTGACAATGTAATTAATTTTTGTTTAACGAAGATTCATAATATCAAAGAGGTAAGAACTCGGACATTAAATAAGAGAGTACAACACATCAAATTGTAAATGATATATCACTATAAACTGAAAGCTTATGTAACTAGCAGACCCTAGCCTAATGGTCATAAACAATAAGAACAAAGTGGACGGACGCTAAAACTGTGTAACACGTGCACGTTTCGCCCACAAACGCGCGTAAAACGTGTAAACGCGTCATTGTCGAGCGCAAGGTACGGAATGTACTCGAAGAAGCCAGGTTTTATTTATTTATGTATTTGGGAACTCAAAAGCTTTGTATTCACAATTACACAGGATATATTACGAACTAGATACAACGGTTCGAGGGTAGTCGAACCTTAACTTCAAACTTCTTCTATGTTCTTCTTTCACTGCGGGCCCAATGACAGTTCCCGGGACAAATCAGACCTTCACTGGTTGGTTTTTTTTTAGTGGTGGTCAAGTTTTAGATACTGGCTACACAGGATTTCACAGGATTTTCAGCGGTTAGAACGAAGTGAAAATAGTTCCGAACTACATACATACAACTCTAGCCAATTACAGAGTTCCATAACTTATGAAGTAAGTAGAATCAGAAAAGTAAGTTCATAAACTAAACGTAACTCTACTTAAAAATTAAAAATAAAGTCATAGAAAGAAAGACGAAAAACTGCTGGTTGGCAGTTGGCAAGGCCATCATTTTCTCAAGAACAAAATATAAAATGTAAGGTTTAGAGACTTACGCGTCACGAGTAGAACTTTTCCTAGACTCTAGGTCTCGTGGAAAAAGGTTTGATAGAGCGAGGTCTTTTGACGTACCGCGCGTGCTAGGCACGAAGCGCGGTGAAGCTTAGCGCACTATCAGACGAATAGGTATTATTAGAGGCCGGTAGATCTATTCTCATAAATAAAACACTGGATACTCAACTTTCACATTATATCGCCTTATTTTAGATACAATTCATCACTTTGTACAAAAGCGCGCGGAGTCATCTCCGCGCGTCCCTCTATTCTGACGTTTGATTCTCGTGTGACATTGACGTATTGTCAATGTCACTATGACAGCATCTCATTGGCTATAACGATACCGCTATTTTAACGTTATATATTTTTACAATTAACAGTATGTAACACATACCTTGTTCGCTCAGCTTGAAGGGAAACAGTAGCTAAAATGTACAGTTTAGAGTACAACCTACGCGTCACGCACGTGTAGAACTTTTCCTAGTTCTCGTGGAAAAAAGCTGGATAGAGCGAGGTCTTTTGATGCACCAGGCGTGCTAGGCACGAAGCGCGGTGAAGCTTAGCGAACTATCAGAATAGGTATGTAACACACAGAAGGGCGTGTAACACACACCGCTTGTTCGCTCAGCTTGAAAGGAAACGGTAGCACACCATCCAGATGCACAAAGTGGAATATTCCCAAGTCCCAACAATGTATGGTTAGTCGTGACAGGACGGCTAACTGGTTTTGTTTTTCTGGTGGGTTTTTTGTAGATCTGAAATTACTGGCCTGGCTCGTACTTATTACATGCCTGGTTAATTTAATTCCTATAATACTACGTCTACTGTCGATTATATTGGACATCAATAGTTAGCACGGAAGTTCTGAAAAATTATTATGTCAATTTATACACCTGGTGAATGGAGCCTAAACTCTCCCGATATTTTGCCTTGTACTTTTATGTATGAATATTAATTTTATATATGTATTTATAAATATTCCGAGCTAAAGAGGTGGCAAAAGCAATGGCAAACAAACCACAATCAATAGTATTCGGTTGTCGCTGAACACTTGGAAACTGAATACATGACTCCGATAGATACGGAAACAAGGCTTTTACATATATTTTTTGCGATTTTCCTAGAACACCAACAAGACTATCGTACACACGCAGTATTCCATTAATGTAATAAATACAACTCCAGTGCCCCACTAATCCCACGTCACCGTCATAAATTACTTGAAGGTGCGTCTCATTTTTAGGTACAGGTTCAATCAGTTCAGGGTGTTGAAATAATTCTAGCTCACGCGGTCTAAATGATGTGCACCGAAGTAACTTTTCATGAAATGCGCGAACCACATCATCTTCGATATAGTTATTATAATTCAGAATGTAGGAAAACGTATTATCTAAAGTATCCATTGTTAGATGATATACAATAAGCTTTAGAAATTTTAAAAACCTGCTACGAAACACTAAAATTTGCACCAAAAACAAAGGAATTTATATTATTGGGGGATTTATTAGTACGTGACCGGTTTAATAGCACCTATTAAACCAGTATACCTACTTACTTATTTTTTATAATAGGTACAATTCAATATTAAAAAGTCTCAACGCCAAATTCGACTTGCGAAAGAAGTAAATGGGAACGATGAAATTCTCTTAGCGCGCACAAGTGACAACGACGTCTGCCCTCACGTGTCTGCCCGTTCGGGTCGACGCGGTTAGCTATCTTATCCCCGCTCCCGCGCGAGACCACGCCCCGCAACTCACGCGCTGCAGCGCAGCGAGCGACCGATCTTCTTGAATCGATGTAATAATAATCTATAGGATTAACGCGTTTTAAAAATATTGGTTCGATGGATATGTTTAACCTATTATTACTCAACAATCACATTTGTAATATTAAACTTTATCAAATGCACAATGTATTTAAGGTACATTACTGGATAAGGATTAATGGCGTATTGCTTGAATAAGCTAATATTTCTCGTAAAAAGTACCTACATTATAAAGATTTTATATCATCGCGGATTTTAAAAGGTGTACAATACTGTAGTATATTTTTTGATCTATCTTATAAGGTTCAGCCATCGTTTTCAGTGTAAGCACAATAACTTAACCAAAATTACAGTTAAATCAACCTATCTCAAAAACTATAAGAGATACTTTGATCAAACCAAAAATCGTTGAAAGAGTTAATTAGCATGCATCACCTCTATTTTTTTTAGAATTTTATACCCCGTAGTTATAAAAATAGAGGGGGGGGGACATACTTTTTACGACTTTGAGAGCTGATATCTCAAAAACCGTTCACTTTAAGAAAAATGTTTTTTAGAAAACTTTATATCATTTTAAAAGACCTTTCCATTGATACCCCACACGGGTATGTACATCGAAAAAAAAATTTTCATCCCTCAGTTACATGTATGGGGGGCCCCACCCCCAATTCTTTTTTTTACTATTTAGTGTCATAATTTTGTAGCGGTTCATACAACACATATTCCCATCAAATTTCATCACTGTAGTACTTATAGTTTCCGAGTAAATCGGCTGTGACAGACGGACAGACGGACAGACGGACAGACGGACAGACGGACAGACGGACAGACGGACATGACGAAACTATAAGGGTTCCGTTTTTGCCATTTTGGCTACGGAACCCTAAAAAACTATCGATCGAAAGCGTTTCATTTTCGACAGCAGCTTATACATATTTCGGTAATATTAGACGATAGGAAACTGTCAGTTCTGCAGCACTAGTACCATAGTACATTGTCACGAAACCTAAATAACTCGCGTAACGTTCACAAATGCAGAAAGTAACAAAATAAATAATGGCATAAGACATAGTAAAAATAAAACAAACACTCACCCTTCCCTGAAACTTGCTGCTATCGTACGACCGCTCGGAGCACAGGTTGTAAATCTTGTAGTGGTCCTTGTGCATCTGCTCTAGGAATCTGTACACCTCGTCGATGTGGTTCCTGTACACACCCTCCAGCTTCTCCGCGGGGAAGCCCATCGCTATGAGCCTGTCTGTTATATCTGCGCTGTGGTTAAGGATCATATCGATGGAAAAATATTGCAAGACAATATGTTCGTGTCAAATTCAGAAACCATTGTTTTTCAAAATAGGTGGCTCAAAAAATTTTGTTTTTCAAAATCCGATGTTTTTGCATTGAAATTACAACAAAAATACATAGTGTGATTCAATTACTTCACTAATATGTTGGCAAAATACTACAGAGCATTGGAAAACTAATTATTCGCGAGTAATTAACGATAAATCCAATACAAGTTCCAAATTAAAACAAAGGCTGATTGAATTCACTGCGACAATGGTACAGTTTACATTGATTTGACCCAATTTTAACACAGGCTCTTTGTAAAGGAGAGGGAATATTTTGGTCAAAGTTCGCAACCTTACAATAACAAGGTAATTTATATAGGCCAGATCGGTAATCCGGCAAGATTAATATTATTGTTTAATTACCAATCAACCCTTGTTTTTACATCGGATGAGTTTTTACTTTTTGTGTTCGTCGATCCCATTTTCCCAAATCCCAGTGTTATTTTGATCATTAAATATCTGAGCGAGATTTACAAGAAAGTGTTTTGGATCAGTTTTATGGGCGATGCATTTGTTCGAATGCATCTTGGCAGCATGACAATATGGGCGTCGTTTGGGAGATTCAATCGGCTTTGGAACCTGGATTGTATGCCCAGTAAATCGCAAGATCTCGACTTGATTGACGAGATTGGCGCTAAGAGGTCGTGCCCCTAATGATTTTAACGTGGGCAAACGATTAACCAATTGTGAAAAGCATCAAGCGTTTGCTCGAGTATCGCGATACGAATATCTGTGCAGATACAGAATATTCATTATAAATAATGGTCAGCCATAAATTATATTAATGCGAACCGAGAACGTTTACCTAATCTCAATCGGAAATACGTCACATGTCTATACACATTCCATATTTCTCTTTGGACCGGTCAATACTTGTACACAATACACCCAATCAGTAATGTATTGGGTGTGTTTTACATGTATTATTATCAAATTCACGTAATTTGCATATTTAAAGTTGTAAAACTGATTCCGCAGTAAAACGGGCGCGTTTTATCGTGAGTGCTCCAATAACAACGTTTAAACAAAAAAAAGATTTCGCTTATCAACGTTCCAAATTTTCATATCAATTTAATGCATCGTCACGGCCCGATTTCATCTCTAGAAAGAGCAGTATCAGAAGAAGTCATAATACTCAAAATGGGAATGGAGAGATACGCTATCGGCTTTTTAAGTTTCACGCAAGTGCTGTTGAGGATTATCAAGGAGCTGTGTCAATAAACAATAACAATTGCAATCTAAATTGTAAATAAATAAAGTTGCGCACCATAAGGCCGCCGTTCTTTTAAACTGCTCGCAAGCTCTATCACTTTAGATAGCAACTGGCATAATAGTTGACATCAGAACGAATAGAATGCATGGAACAAGTAGGCAGTAGGCACATCGGTGTGGGTGTCTATCTCGTTATCCGTCAAACGTCATTTCGCACGTGGAAACAGAGATATTCGCAGGTCAGCAACCGTGAACTTATACAATTGTATGTATCGGTAATCGCTCGCATTCTCGTGCGCCTGCGAGCCGCTGCTATAAAAACTGTACTCTGAAGATACAGACGTGTATGTGTACATTATAATTGGATCATAAATACTGACTCTCTTATACATAAACATTTAAGTCTTAAAAGACCGTTTTAGCTAATAACCGACTTGTCACTAACTTACAAATTCAGAAAATTAGATGAAAATGCACAGCATGAGTTTCATTTTATACTTTACTAGCTGTGTCCGCGACGACACAAAAATATTTTTTTATAAAGGATCAATAGTTCCCAAGATTATCGTGTTCATCCAACAAAACAAACTCTTCTGTTTTATAATATTAGTAATAGATAAATTTTAAATTGGGAGATGCCTATGCTCATCAGTGGACGTCCTCATGGCTGAAATGACGATGATGATGATGAAATTATGGAATCATTATGGGAAAATACTAATTTTTTGAATGAATATCTCATTAATTGTTTGTTATTGGTGATTAAAATAATCCGTTATTAATTACTGCTTATGAAAGTCCACGCTCACCTCGCTAAGCTCCAAGCATTAATTTTAGTTGTAATCCCCATTTTCCCTTTTATTTTTCATAGAAATAGTTGTTTTCATGTTTGTTATTGTTTACCCTAATAATATAGTTTTAGAGAAATACCAAAATACATACTATGTACTCGCATCTTGTGTTTGTAATAGTTTGTATCCAATTCTTTGAAAGTACGATACGATCGATGGATACAATGGATGATTCCTTGGAAATGATATAGAAATTCTATTTAGTCTGTCAGACATAAAAAAAATAGACACGTAAATTTTCTGACGGACAAAAAATTTCAATTTTGTGATCTAATTAAATTAAATGGAATGTCTTTATTCTATGTTGAGTGGTTCTTTAGTCTATGAAACTACATGAGTTCAGGCTAACGTTTTTGTACGAGTAGAATGATAATCTCAGTCAAATGAATGATGTTAATTTTTAGAAACGTAACACGACTTTTTTTTTAAGTAGAAAAAAATATCTATAAATCGTAAAAATAATGTTTAAAGTTAAGCATTCCGAAGACTAATACTACCTATTTATATATCTACTATCCTGCTACAATAACGGCAGCAACAAGCGGTTTTAGGTAACCAAATAACGATCAAAATATTTCAATTTGCTCATGACATCGTAAATTGTCCTGTTATAGTACGAGTACGCATATAAATAAACATATCAGAGCCGTAGAAACATAACTATGACGTCACGTCAACTATCAGTGACGTAGTCCGCCCTCAACTAAAGAGCGCACATAGTTATTACAATCGCCTGTACGTTAGTCCGTCACGTACATCTCGCCTCATGGCATGGGACATCACAGTTGAGGTAAACCGACCGCTAAAGGAAAACTGCGGTCTGCTACTACAATATACGTTAATTTGTACGCAGAAGTATAACGTGGGTCAACCAGGCCTATTTCCCAAACGGGTCATTGTCAGGAGTTATCTTGATAGTAGGTCTATTTTGAAGGAAAAATGCTTTTAATCCGGCTAGTTTCTTCAAGAGACAATTAATATTTAATATATTTTATTTGGTTTTTGTCAACAGGAACTGATTATCGTTTTTACCCGATTGCACCAGAAGGTGGTATTAATATATTTTTAACATATAAAATAATATAGGAGTAAAATGCTGAAGGTCACATTATAACATAGGGAAGCGAACATGCCTACCTAGTTTCCTATTAGGCACGGAAAACTCTGTAAACGTACGCAAAACCGACTTTAAGCAAATGCATCGATGCCAACGCGTTATCTCTATGCGGAAACATCCAAGCGACAACGAAGCTTACGGATGACAGTTAGGCATAGGTACCTATATCCTGCGCAATCTGTCACGGGCATGGTGTAATTCAAATCCATTTGCTTGGTAACTGTAGCTAGAAGCCAGACAAATCCGCAACGCGAATGCACAGCCCGGGGGTTTCACACCGGGGCGCGTCGCCGGAAGCTGCGGCTCCCAAAATTGCGGTTTATTTTTTAAAAAGACGCCTGTTTATTCCTTTTAACGGCCAGCACTGGTAGTTTTCGGCTACAGTTTATTTTTGGGACGCAAAAAGTTTCTTTGTTGGACTAATTTGCCTGCAGGACCTAATCAGTAGAATTTTGAAGCTTTAAAAAAGCTGCATTACCTTGTCTGCGATTCAACAATGTCTACTGCCAACAAGTTTAAATGAATTGCTAATGTCATTTTAAACTTGATTCTTCCGTTATTCAATAAAACTGTTTTAGAAATAATAATAATACCCGTCGAATTTGTCTAACGCAGACATGTCTGTAACGCCGCACGTGTATAAACAGATAAGTCTGGCGTGGTCGTAGACATTTCAGGCCAATGAAATAGTTTTAAAAAGGCAAATTTCGTAATCTGTCTAGCCGAGACATGATAATACATAATTAATAAAACAAAACTTGTGAAATTTGGGCCGACCCGAGTGAAACTGTCAATTCCATGAATAAACCACAGTTTATTCAAATGGGAAGACGCGTAGACGTAACAACTTACAACTTCATCGGCGCACAATCGTCTGGTTATCTTCGTAAGCAATTTTAAACTTAAATCCTTTAGCATAAAGAGTGTAAAATAGAGTCACGTTTCTGCCAAGTGTAAGTTTCAACTTTCAACCTTGTGTTCTTGGTAGGCGTATCTAGGACAAACTAAGTTTTATTGCCTAGACTAAGCGCTAAAAATGTTTGCCGAGGAATTTACAATCGGTGAGCACAAGTTTTTTCCATTACAATCAGCTTTCATTCTATACCTAACCTAACTACCCTGGCACTAAAGTTGTACAAGCTGTTTAAAATTCATAAGAAACTAGAGCTTTGCTTGAAATCTTTCCCGTGTGCCCTTAAGATAATATCATACAATATTTCTATTTTTTACTTCTAGGAAACGCGTTTGTAAAACAATTCAGACAATGTAGAGTCGCCAACAGGCCTTAGCGTGTTTCGACATACCTAATCACGGCTTGTTTTTTTATTTAAAACAGTATCCGAACAAACCAGTTGGGGTCAATGACTCTATTGTTTCAAAAACTAGGACCAATAATGGGTATGCCAAATCCAGTGAGGGTAGTGAACATGGCATTGTGGGGTCATTGGGGTCACCTACAGATGGAAGGGAGCCATTGTAGCCCCTTTTGGAATTGACGGCGATGCACCTACAAGTACATGATGGTTAGTTTCGGATTCTTAAGGTAGAGGAATATTGAGCAAATGGCTAGTTTGAGATACCAAAACTGGAATAATGTTTGGAGTGCCATTCTGGTTTGTACGTAAACAGAACAAGGAAAGCCTGTGAATTCTACTACCACTGAAGTTTGCTGACTAACCATAATAAAATTGTATAAGATGTAGAGTCTGCAAATATTGGATTAAATTATTATTTT